TTTTATATGCCTTCACTGGGAATCGAACCCTTCCTTGAAATCTGTTATGTGTGACTGACATCAACATCGACGAAACCTCTCGGCTACCAATGGGTTACACTATAGATGTCTATTTTATATATTTAAATGAACATATAATATACATCGGTTCATCGGACACACAGGGCTTGTACCTTTATATAGACACAATATGCAGTCGTATAGTATGAGTTGATAGCCGCGAGGTTAGCATGGTTAAAATCAATGAGTTAAAGATAGGGATTTGTCGGTTTAGGTTCGAATCCCTGTATTCTATCTGTTGTTCCAATTCTTAAGTTATCCTGTTTTTTTTCTAATTTTGCATGTTATAGTGGATATTTTTGTAATAATAGCGAGTTTTACCGGGTTTTCTTTATTATATTGGCTATTTCACATGTTTGAAACAAAAATGATTACATTCTATTTGTCAATTTTTGTTTTATAAATATAGTATGATTTCATCTGTTTTACTCCATAATTTTACAAAGGTTTGTTCGCAAATGCCTATGCGAGAAAATCGTGATGTGCCTAGAGTGTTAGAAAAATTTCGATAACATACTTATTATATATACTTTATATATGCTTTTTGGTCGGGTTGTTGTCTCTTTGACACGTTCCCCATTTCCATTTTCAATTCTATTAGAAATAATTTCGAATATGTCTTATTTTGTATAAGCAGATAATATTCACATGCCTGGTAATATAAATATCTTTAAAGGTAGAAGTGTTATATTTGTATTTTGTTAACCAATTAATTGTGATCTGAGATTAATCAATGCATCGTTGGACACGATAACATGGTTATTTAAACTCACTTACAATACCTTCTAATTAAGAAAAGGCTTTAATTTTGAAAAGAAATTAACACAATAGTTTAAGTTATAGATACAATGGATAAGCGTAGATTCATGAAAAACAAACCATTCGCCCTCCGGGCTCATGGTTTCTTTTTCAAGAATCCACGCTTATCCATTGTATCTATATAACAGAGAATATGGTGGAGTAGCCATAATCTGGAAAAAAGATATTAATGAAAATATAAAGGAACCGATAGACGGTGGAAATAGAATACAAGCCATACATATTCAACAAGGAGACAAACCAATATGTCTTATAAATGTATATATGCCATCAGATAACAAAAATGCAGATATCGAATACAAAGACACTTTGGCTCAAATTGATGAAATGATAGAGAAATATAAAGATACACACGAAATTATAGTATGTGGAGACATGAACGGGTCACTCCATAGAAGCTCTACACCTCATGATAAAATTCTACAAACTTTCTGCAAGGAAAAATGTATAGGAAATACTGAGAAATGTCCATTAAAAGAAACATTTTATCACAAGAATGGTAAATCGAAAGGACAAATTGATTACTTCCTCTTCAAAAGTAACTCGGAAATAATAGATAAAATCAGACAAATTGATGTCCTTGATACTGACCCAGAGAATACCTCGGACCATGTACCTGTTATTCTGACACTGAATAGCCAACTGAAAACAGTAAGGGAAAAAGCAACAACTATCATAGCAAAACCTAAATGGACTGACTGTGACCATCAAATTTATAAGGAAATCATCAATAAAGATCTACCAAACCTCATGCAAAAATCAAAAGGAATCATTGAGCAAGATATAAGAAATCTAGAAAAATTGCTGCATAAAGCCGGAGAAGCGGCAATCCCAAAGTATAGAAGAAAAATCAAAATCAAATCAAAGGGAAAGGCGATATGGAATGGACAAATAGAAAAGGCATATAAAGTATGGAGGCAACATGGAGCACCTCAAGAAAGAAGAAACGAGCTCAAAACCAAAATGACAGCTGCAAAAAGAATACTTCGAAAAGCACAAAGACAAGCTTATGCCTCTCAGAGAGAATCAACAGCGGGAAAAATTATGAAAGCTTCAAATGCAGACACAAAACTTTTTTACAAGCTTATTAACATGCAAAGAAAAACACCACTTACTAACACCAAGATACTGAACCTGAATGAAAAGATTGCAGAAGATGGACCAAGCATAATGAACATTAAATTTTGGCAAGAACATTTCCAACAACTAGCTACGCCAACAATAGAGGAAAATTTTGATACTGAAAAGCTAGAGCTTGTAGAAATACAAAACAATATAATAGAATCCATAAAAAGGGAAAAAGGTCAAGGCATTGATCATGTCAATGTAAAGGAGGTTAATAAAGCTATAGAAAAACTTAAAAGCAGGAAAAGCACCGGATGAGGATGGAATTTCGGCAGAACACTACAAATGTGGGATGGATGAGTTAACTCCCTTTATAGTACATTTGCTAACTTTAATTTTAACATATCTGGATGTACCAATCTTCCTAAAGACAGGGATTCTTACACCAATCCTAAAGAAAGAAAAAGACAAAACATTACCATCTAGCTATAGAGGAATAACTGTGACTAAAACCTTTGCAAAAATTTTACAAAGTGTACTGAAGGATAGAGTTGACTCTGTATTTAATAACATACAAAACTCCTTGCAAAGAGGCTTTACAGAAGGAGTGTCATCACTATGCGCAGCTTTCCTCACATCAGAAGCAATCGAAGAAAGTAAGAAATTAAAGATACTAATGATTTTAATAACTCTTGATGCAGAAAAAGCATTTGACAAACTAAACCATGAAATACTATTCAACGAGCTGTACCATTATGGAATAAAAGGAAAGCTCTGGATACTACTGAGAAACTTGTATAAAGACATGAGCATTAAGGTTAAATGGGAAGGTCAATATACAGAAGATGTAATGGTGTTACAAGGAAATCAACAATGTGCAAAACTATCTACAACGCTATATAAATGCTACAACAACGTCATACTGGATAGCATTTTAAAAAGTGGACTTGGAGCATGTATTGGTGATATACAAGTCCCTGCACCCACATGTGCCGATGACATTGCTGTCCTGGCAAATAGTACTGCAGACGCACAAGGAATATTAGACATAGTACAGCACCATACAAGCAGAGATCTAGTTAAAATCAATCCAACTAAATCTGAAGCTGTTTTATACAATGCAAAAGGCTCAAACATATCAACACTGCAATTCGAAGACGATGACATCAATATAACCAATGAAACCAAACATCTAGGTATCAAAAGAAACGAGCAAAACCGGGCAAATATCTCAGAAAGAATAAGAACCGGCAGGGCAACAATATACAGCCTTCTCGGAGCCGGTTTACATGTCAGAAGGGGATTCTAACCCATGGTCGCATACAAGCTATGGAGAACATATGCAGTACCAAGAAGCATCTACGGACTTGAGGTGATGAACTTACTTGCAAAAGAAAAGGATATGCTAGAACTGGCAGAGAGAAAAATCCTCCGACAAATTCAAGGGCTTCCAAATAATACAGCAAATATGGCTGTCTATACCCTGGTAGGAGCAGAACCTATTGCCATCGCATTAGACAAAAATCTACTTACCTTCTTCATGAATATTGTTCGAAATTCAGGAACCATAGAATGTGAAATTCTGCGTCGACAAATAGCATTCTCAGACCAAAGAGGAAAAGACTTTATCAACAGAGTGGAAAAAACTCTATCAACATACAATTTGAAATCTAGTAGTTACTACATAGAAAAACCACTTAAGAAAATCGAATGGAAAAGACTAGTAGGAATAAAGATCAAGAAATACTGGAAAAATGAATGTCATTATGAAAAAATGGAAAAAAACATCACTTAAATACATAGAGATACAGAACAATCCATTAAATGAAGCACACAATATATGGAAAAGCGTAAAAAACAATAGTAAAGATGTAAAGGCAGGAGAAATAAAAGCAAGAATAAGTACTCAAACGTACATATTACAAGCCAAAAGAGCTAAGTTCGATCCGAAAGTTAACCCGATATGTACAATCTGTGAACAGGAAAATGAAGATCTAGAACATTTTATTCTACGCTGCAAAGAATTGGAGCAAATAAGATCTAAATGTTGCTCAAAAATCGAACAGACAATGGATGAAATTGATACCTCAACATACAAGAAGATCATACAACAAGGGAATTTACTGCAGCTCATAATGGACTGTACTAGCAAGGACATAAACTGTTACTCAACTGTGTATGAAAACATTGAAACTCTCGCTAGAAATATGTGCTACGAGATGCACATGCTGCGCACAAAAAGGATAAAAAACTTGAACACAAGTACAGTATAAGTATAAGTAAACTTTTTTAAAATAAAATAGTTCCCTACTTTACCATCTTACTATTTTATGACTTATTAGGACCTAAATTTAAATTTTTTGCAAAGTTTTAAGATATCAAGTACCTTTAAAGAATAATGATAAGATCCGAAATAAGGTAATTTTAAACTGTGAAGGAAAACTTATGTATATATGTTGAATTCAGCAGTGTTCTAAACCCCAACCCTTTTACATAAGTCTTATAAAATAACCTTCTCATTATAAATTCTGATGTACGTATAGCACCTTTAACTAACAATTATAAGAAAGTTTAATTTAAGACCACTTAAATTCTAAATTCTTATTTGTAAATATATCCAGTTCTTACTTAACTTGTTCTTACACCTCAGCACATTATGAATATTATTTTTAAAATTTTATGATGAAAATCCTATGAATTAATTATAATATTAATTATTTAGTAATTATTATTGCCTAAATTCAGTCATCTGTACATAATTAAATGTTTCCTTATGTTTTAAGGTGTATATAGTTGCTACAATTATACCCTATGGGTAGTGCTCCACAATTAATGGAGGAATATACAAGAAACTGAACTGAACTGAAACACGATTACTATAATGATAAAAGATATCTCGATCTTTGACAGTTGTTATTAATCACCAAATCCCGGCTTAAGTATAACAGTCCCAGCTATAGGAGATTTTATTAATACTGTAAATATTTTAGTATTTTTATCTTATTTTATCATCCATACGCATCATTTTGTCCATTCCGGGATTGTACGACATTTCCTTTAGCCAAGAAAAGATAACTACGTAAGATCGACAAGCCGGCCACGCAAGCAATTTACTATTCTATTGCAAAAGTTGGAAAGGGAAAAATCATTAAAATGGGTAAACACTAAAATAGCTTATACTTTAACGAAGTGTAACACTTATGTCTGCTAAGACAGTGACTCTGGACTAGGTTTTCGTTGCATGCGGATTAAGCGACCTCAGTAGATGAATCGTAGCTGACTATAAATTATTTTTTTCTGGTTGGTCTGTTCTGTTCGCCGTCATTAAAAAAAAATAAAATATATACATGAAGTCATATTTTGATGTCATATACATAATGTAAATTAAAAGATTTTTTTTAAACTAGGAGACAGATTTATAAAAGCAGTTTTGCTTGTTTTTGAATCCTACATATCTATTTCATGTGTATATCCTACCGTAGTCTATAATCAGTCATAATGTTGGTTCGTTCGGATTTTGTTATTGTACTTATCACAAGGGAAAACTCCGCATTGACGTCACTACGCTAATACCAGCGTACAAAATCAGTGCAGAATACATTTTTTCTACTCTTCTAAATAAACAAACATTTCTTAAGATATGTTTACATTGTTATTCTAAAGTATTGTACAAAAATGCCAATTTTCTAATGGCTGTTTCAAACCTGACTTCCAAATGCCTAAAAACATTCCAGAACTTCAGAAATCCCCTCTTCCGGCCTCCATTGCTTTGTTAACATTCCATTTAGCGTCATCAATCTTAATGGCAGACCAAACAGGCCAAGCAAATCGTACTTTTAAGAATTTCAAAATGGCAAGCACCTCACGTCTTAAGCGATTTTCCCGCGAAAAAAACCCATCCAAATTGAAAGAAAAACTTTGGGAAACAAACGATAATCATGCCATATTTTAGTTCAGGAATATAGAGTAGGTTAATAAAAAACAATATACATATATTTTTCATAAAAAAAAAATTGGTTCAATATAAAGAGATCGATATTCTGACCATAAGTAAATATTCATATAAAATTCCATTGATATCAAATTTCATGGCTAATAATGAGGTTTCCTATTGAATAAACCCCCAATTTATTGCAAACTATTTCAAAGCAATATCATACAAACAAATAATATAATTGCCTTGTACTAAAAAATCACCTTATTGACAGTAGAGCAATTTGATTGGATATAACGATTCAATGTGTCACATGGTTTTGAAGCCATTAGAATTTGAATGTAAACAAACCGGGTCAGCTGCTGCAGTATGGAACAACATCGTACATTCAGTGACTGAGAAACAATTATGAGTAACCAAGCTTGACAATACACAGTAATAAAAAAACAAAGCTAAGTCTACAGAAAAATAAAATAAAAAATGGCCTTAAGTGCACGACTTACCACCATTGCGGGATATACTATATTTAATTTATACTGTTTTGACTTTTGTGATGGTTTATCTGGATAAATATTGTTTAAACTAACTAGAATATATATCAATTTCTGGCCTTCTGTATTATTGAGTTTTATTCATATTTATATATACTCCCTTACTGTTTGTCTTTTTGTGGAAAACTAAAAAAATGAATAGCAAAATCAAGAAAAGTTTATAATTTTCTGAAACAATGCATTTAAAATTTAATTATCTAGTTCCTGCAGCCATGCCTTAAAACTTTCCCAGGTGTACAGTCAGGGGTACTACTTGTACAAGTAATTTTTATTTACTTGAAGAAGTAATCATAATATACTTATATAAGTAAATTTGTAGGATACTTATACAAGTGTATTTTATTTACCTGTATAAGTAAATTATTTTTTGGCCTAGTTATGTCCCTTAGACATTCAGATTTTTTTACTTATACAAGTAAAAAAGTCATCCTATCTTCTTTTCTTGAATTCTTAGAACTTCTTTGCTCTAACAGAATTTTGAATTGTCTGTCCTTTGCAGATGTCTTTACTATTCATTTAAGTGTAATTTCATGGACAATGAAAATCTCATTTGTCTGTTATCTTTAGAACACTGCTCATTTACAAGCCCCCAAGGAGCAATTTTTGAAGGCCTTGCGCAAATACTTTTAAAAGATCTTTGCTCAATCAGTTTCTTTGTTGAATTAATGAGATGAAACATTGAACTCTTATAAAAAATTATGAGCTAACATGAGAAAAATTGTTAAAGGTATGATTTTACATCTCAAAACTTGAGAATTTTTGTGAGATTGTAAAAAAAATTTACTTATACAAGTAAATTTTTTAGAAAATTAAGGGGAGATTATTCAAACAATATAATTAACTTATATAAGTATATTTTATTTACTTCTTCAAGTAAATAAAGATTACTTGTACAAGTAGTACCCCTGACTGGTGTACAAGTTTGTCTGTACTCAGAGTAAATTTTGTGGTGTAAATACGGCCATATTAGCCAAAAGGTTATGACATACGTATGATGAACCTTAAATTATTTATTCGGTAACTTGCATAAAAGATACACAAATCAGATTCCCATGTGTCGCTCAACTAGGTCTATGTACATATTCAACAAAGGACACTCTCATTGTAGACAAAAATCTCTTTTATGTTGATCTTATATTGCTGATCGTTTTGTCTGTTTTGGAGAAGATTTTTGTAAAAGTTAATGGACGCCAAGTGATAAGAAAAGCTCACTTGGCCCTTTTGGCCAGGTGAGCTTAAAATGAAAAATATCTCAAATTTATAGTCTTTATTACAATAAAAGCAGTATTACACCATATAAAATAGAGTTTTAGGGTAATCATTGGTAATATCTATTGGTTCTCGGTTTCATATTTAGTTTTGAGAGTTCTCAGGAAATCATTGTACCCCTTCAAGACTACCACTACAAAATAAGGACTACCCCATGTTTTGTCAGACTAGTCCTTTTGGACTACTTATATACAAAAGTTAGTGTTAAAACCCTGCCCCATCTATAATTCAGCCACCAGGAAACCACAAAGGCATATGTGTATATACATTTTTATTTACACCAGTTGAGTATTTCAGTATTGCAAATTTGCATACATGTAACAGCTATAATATAAATCACCTACCATGCCTACGCTGAGTGGCTGAGGTAATGCAAAGGGGTAATTCCCTAAAAAAAGAATGTTGGAGTTCGGAAGGGAAGGTTTATTATTGAAAGTGAGTAGTTGTCATTTAACAAAAGAGAGTTTTGGTTGTTAGAGGGGATTTTTTAAGTCCCTTCCAACCCTCCAACATGCACATGTACATCCATTTTAGACATGTAAATTGAATAGTATGTACACCCTTAGTCCCCTTTAATATTTTATTTTTCCCAAATATTTGTTTTTCTGTTTTTAGCATACATAAAATTTATTCTTTATGTTTACATGTCGGGTGCGCTGAATTTTGTGTCATATATTTGTACAATAATATACACTGTATATATTAATTAATCTGCAAAAAAGACGGTATGCAAAAGATGAAAATTATTTAGATTATTTAGTATGAATTTTAATATGTATCTTAAATAAAAGGCAAAGATTTGAAAAGACCACATTTATATACATGTTTATAAACTTTGTGCTGTTTGATATTACAGAAACACATGATGAATTTGTGTATTTTATTTCAGGGTTATCACCAGCAATTTCGAGTGTGATTTCTCTGACACTTGGTATGTCAATGTTTGCTGTAATGCAGATGTTCAAACAACAGTTGGCAGCTACAGAATATATGACAATACTAGGAGGTTTACTTGGTAGCATTGTGTTCATCTTTGTCTTGACTGTATCCTTTCCTGTTTTTGTCTGTTTACTGAGAAGCAATATGTAAAGATATTTTGATTATTTTTGTAATTTTAGAGACTGATAATTGATGATCACAGATTAGCAGATCAATATGTACAAACAGTTGTAGGCATTTATGTTTCTCCATGTTACAACAAAATGTACATGGAGTCATATATCCTCAACAAATTTATTATACATTCTGATTTGTAACCAGACTTCCAAAAGAAAGTATCGGTTATTAATTTGGTGATGTACAGCAGGCGGATGGGTTGGCTGCCAATAACTTGAAAACGCTTTGACGAAATCTTTTCAAATTAGATATGTTGTTTCCTGTGACTAGATGAAGGTCAAGTTCGAATTTAGATGAAAATCTTGTGATACTTTGAAGAAACCAGACAACAATCGTTTGAAAGTTGGTTTCTGGAAAGTTAATGGAGTGACCACAAGATTCTTTGGTTTCATATTAATTAAGGTTATAATCTCATAAACATGATAAACATATTTCTTTCATTATTGACTTCATGATTTCTGCCTACCCACCCCTGCTGAACAAATGAATGTGTACTTATATACTCTCTTTAATTCCAATATTATGTCACTTGTGATAAATAGGAGGTCAAGATTGATTTTGGCTTTTCCATTTCTAAACCCTACAAAAATTCATTTATTTTTTACTTGATCCTGTTTGGGGGTCCAGATTTGCAAATATCATTTTCATGCAGGAAAATCTGGTTTGCTGTATCTGACAGCCTCTTGTTCACTTTAAAATGATTGCACTGTTTGGATACAGTATGGATATATTTGTAGGGTAGGATGATAATTACAAAGATGTAGGATCACAATTCATGCACATTTTTTCCTTTACACTTATTTCAGGGTGTCAGTAATCTAGAAACTTCCTTATTTGGAGGTGGATTTCAAACTAAACTTTTACCAGAAGGTAAGACTGTACATACATTTTGAATTCTAACTAACATGTCTAAGAACATTTAATGTTGGAGAGTGTTTTTTTACATGTTATTTTTCAGTGTGATCTTGCAAGTATATTTGTATAATTTGAGTAGCCCATTAGAAGTAAACATTCTTGAATTGCCTATTTAATCGAAAATTATAAAAAAATAATTTTTATTGTTAATTTGTGATGTATACAAATCATTCATACAATTACATATACATAATTTAATTGAAGTTTGAATACATATTGTACTTTGAAGAGATAGATATATCTGAATGGATACTTACATGTACATGTATATTGCAAATATGACACATTTATAATTAATGTTATAATTTTTCATTATTTTTTTTTTATTTGAATTTGTGTTTTTCACTTGTAAATATTAATTGATTGTTGCTTGCCTATCATCCAGTGCCAAATAATGAAATATTTCCTGCATATTCATATTGAAAACAAGTTAACAATACAAAAGATTGATACTGCAAAGTGGACTAAACAGGATAAAGGTGTAAATTTGAACTGCCACTGGGAAATGGGGTGACATGTACATGTATAACTTGGACAATGAGATTTTTTTTGGAACATGTCACCTAAAGACACCTTAAAGGAGTTGTTTTAAGGGTTCTTTAGCATGCAGAGATCACATGTTGATAAAAAGAGCTGTTTTTGAAGAACCAAAATTTTAATAATATATTCTAATAATTTTATAATTTGCAGATTTGTCTATAGATTTTATTCATATTTTTACTAACAATCACATTTACTTTATTTTTAGTCGCCTTTTGTTTAGCCATGGCCATGTTTGCCTCTGGTCTCATCCACAGAGTTTGTGTAACAACTTGGTAAGCATTAAAATGTGGCTATTATCTTTCTTTCTCCAATACATTTAATGACCTTCATTATAATATGTATATTATTGTAATTTATGATAATTATACAGATATAGATTAAAACTCTTTGACATGTTTGAGATTGGGAAAAAAGTGTCAAAAAATTTCATTGAATACAGTAAAGGACATGAAGGATGATCTATCATAACATGATTTATGATATAATCAGAGACAACAAAGATATTAAGAATTGAGAAAATATTTTGTGTTTATAAGATTATTTGATTTTAATCTTTTTGTCTAACTAGTGGTGGAAGAAAGACAATAGGGATCCAATATTCCATTCAGTGTCTTCAAAGTTTAGTTTCAGTCTATGGTTGTAGATTTTTTAGACATTAATAACTTTGTCAAACCTTCATTGAATTTTACAAAACTTAGACAGAAGCTTTTTATGACCAAAAGACACTTTGCTGAACCCTTTACGATTTTTATGCCCCCGCCATAGCGGAGGGGGCATTAAGTTTTACCCTTGTCCGTATGTACGTTAGTACGTCCCAAAATTGGTTTCCGTTCTCTAACTTGAGTTTACCTCAACCAAATGCTATGAAACTTATATACAATGCTTATTACCACAAAATACAGATCAAGTTTGAATTTTGGTGGGGTCACTTAAACCATTCACGAGTTATGCCCCTCTATAAATGGAAAACAATGCAAAATTTTTAGTTTCCGTTCTCTAACTTAAGTTGCCTCAACCAAATGTTATGAAACTTATACACAATGCTTTTTACCACAAAATACAGATCAAGTTGAATTTTGGTGGCGTCACTTTAATTATTATCGAGTTATGCCCCTTTAAAAATCGAAAAATTGCTAAATTTTTAGTTTCCGTTCTGTAACTTAAGTTTGTCCCAACAAAACATTGTGAGACCTATATTCACAATACTTATTACCACAAAACTCAGATCAAGTATAAATTTGGGTATCGTCACTTTATCGTTGAGTTATGTCCCTTTATAATGTTGTATGCAAGCAGGGGCATCATCTGTGTCCATGGGGACACATTCTCCATTTATTTTTTTACAAAATGATTCCCTTTTGACCCATTGATTATATTTTGATAAATAGGATTTCAATGAAATGAGATGAATTAATTTTATACATCATTGAAACAGTAACCTTATACATAATACCGGTACAATATATTTGATTTTATATAGCTTTTAGTTTTCCCCTATCAAGGAATTAAACCTACCTAAATCCAAAGTACTAACTGTTAACTTACTATACATTGGATTTGGATGCAGTTTTCCATTAGATTAATTTGGGTTTTTATTAGGTTCTTCATGAAACGTTCTGCCTTAGATTTACAGTTAGTTTTGACTTTGTATTTATAGATTTGGGCTTAAAAGGTTTCGAAAAGGAAAGAGTCATAAATTCGATTGCTTTTTAAAGTCTGCTTTTTTTATATATTAATATCTTTATTAAAAAAAAATGATTATGATGAGAAAATGTTAAAAAAGAAATTCTGAGAAAGAAAGTCCTTCAAGCAATTTGCATTTCTGCTGAAAAATAGGCTAGTTTCAGTAAAACTCTGGATGCATTCCAAGATGGCAGAATACTTCCATAATCCCTTAAGACTGTGTTTCATAGTAAATCTAACATGTCTAAATACATCTTGGAGAAAAACTTATACAATTGCATTTTTCATTTCAGTTTTATATTTTCACTGGTGGCTTTATATTATATCAATAAGATATCTCAGAAAGTTCATGCTCCTGTAGCTGTGCAGTCAACAGGGAAATCTACTCCAGGAAAGAAGAAACGTTAGTGTGATCTACAACATTATACAATGATCATCTTTTGTATTAGATACTTATTAAATTGATTTAGGAAATCTCATTATTTCTTTGTTGTTCAGTGTAAATTTTCAATATAGATAATGCTTATAGGTTAAGTTTTCAACCAGTGCTTTTAAAGTTTTGATATGTTGTAACTGATGACAAAATGGAGGTCCGAATCTTTTTTGATGATTTTCACTTTTGTCGTTAATGAGTTATGGTCCTTGATAGATTGAAAAATGGCTTATGAACAGTTCAATCAATGCTTCTAAAATTTTAATAGGCTGTAACATGTGACAAAATGGAGGGGGAGGTCAAAATCTATTTTGACGATTTTCACTTTTGTCATTAAGGAGTTATGGTCCTTGATAGATTGAAAAATGGTTTATGAACAGTTCAATCAATGCTTTTGAAATTTTAATAAGCTGTTACAGATGACAAAATGGAGGTCAAAATCTATTCACTTTTGTTGTTTAGGAGTTATGGTCCATAATAGATTGAAAAATGGCTTATAAACAGTTCAATCAATGCATTTAAAATTTTAATAGGCTGTTACAGATGACAAAATGGCGGTCAAGTTAGAATCGCCTACATTGACGGTTTTCTTTTTTCAGTTCAGTAGTTGTAGCTATAGTCCTTGATAGATTGGAAAATAGGTATAGAATGTGGCAGGTCAAACAAGCCTTACAGAAAATATGGTTTGCTGTCAATTTTACAGTTCATTCCTTGTTAAAATACATCTTGCAATGCTGCTGATTAACAAACATGGTCCTCAAATAAATCAAACATAATGAAAAACAACAATATTTATGGTTAACTTTGACAGTTTTGATTGTTCCTCAGGAATTTCATGTAACAATAATACTTGGTATGAGGATTTGTTGCAAAAAGGTATTGTCTTGTTTGACTTGTTATATGGCATTTTCTTGCTACTGTTGTCCAGTATGAATTTAAAATTAGTTTGGAAATAAGAAGACATGGGTTATACATGTATCTTTAATTAGACAGCAACTCGATGACGAAAATATATAAGACTGTTGTCTACAAACAAAAAATGGCTGCACAGGAGATGTACATATTGCTAACTCGCTACAACTCAAAATTATCAAGCTGTAGACCCAAGTATAAAATCATTCCCTTCCCTAGAAACTTAGATCAATTAGATGAAAAAGGACAATGAGTGTTGAAATATTTCCAACAATCGGCAAACATGAAGTGGTTGCACGGCAGGTAAATACACACGAAATGCTGATACTTTTGAGTTTGAATATCCTTATGGTATCATCCGCCTCTTTCATTTCACCTTATGCATTGTTTATTGTTTCTTATGGAACTTTTTGTAATTTTAGTAAATAGGTGTGCTACAAATTAAATTAAAGGGTTTGAGTCAATTCAGAGGTAATGAATTTTCCAGCTAATGCCCGTTTAGAATGTCCTGTAATGAAACAAATGCATACTGTCTGAAAAGGCAAAAAACACCAAAGGGATAATCAAAAATCAAAAGTCGAAGAAAATCTGACAATACCATGACAAAAACAAAAAACCATCTAGAAGGATAGATATAACCTGCTCCACATGTGGCACCCGTCTTTTTATACGACCGCAAAAAAATTTTGCGGTCGTATATTGGTATGACGTTGGCGTCGTCGTCCTCGTCCGGCGTCGTCCGAAGACACGTTGGTTTTCGCACTCTAACTTTAGTTTAAGTGAATGGATCTCTATGAAATTTTACCATAAGGTTCAATACCACAAAAGGAAGGTTGGGATTGATTTTGGGGGTTATGGTACCAACAGTTAAGGAATTAGGGGCCAAAAAGGGGCCAAAAATAAGCATTTTTGTAACTTCCAGACATAACTTGTGTGTTAGTGTATGGATCTCTCTGACATTGTACCACAAGGTTCCATATCACACAGGTAATGCTGGGATTGATTTTGGGGGTAATTGCCTCAAAATATTAAGAATTAGGGGCCAAAAAAGGGGCAAAAAACAAGCATTTTTCTAGTTTCATGACAATAACTTGTGTGTTAGTGTATGGATCTTTCTGAAATTGTACTACAAGGTTCCATATCACAAAGGGAAATCTGGAATTGAGTTTGGGGTAATTGCCCAAAACGTTTAGTAATAAGGGGCCAAAAAGGGGCCAAAAATAAGCATTTTTCTAGTTTCCAGACAATAACTTGTGTTCCAAGTGTATGGATCTCTCTGAAATTGTACTGCAAGGTACCATACCACAAAGGGAAGGCTGGGATTGAGTTTGGGGGTGATGAATCATAAGGGGGTTCATAAAAATTTTTTTGGGGGGGGGATTTTTTTTTTCATTTTTTTTCTTTTTTTCCTTTTTTTTTTCTTTTAGAATTTTTCATTTTAAGTTGGTTATTTCTGTTTTATATTTAAAAGCAAATAATAATGATATGGTAGGAGATACACACCAAACAAGATGTGTAAATTATTATATAATAAGTATTGTGCAATAGCAAGAAATTTTCAATTGCATAGTATTGTACAATAGCAAGAAATCTTCAATTGCACAGTATTGCGCAATAGCAAGAAATCTTCAATTTCACAGTATTGTGCAATAGCAAGAAATATCCAATTGCACAATATTGCGCAATAGCAAGAAATTGTCAATTGTACAGTATTGCGCAATAGCAAGAAATATTCAATTGCACAGTATTGTGCAAAAGAAGATACTTCGTATAAATTGCTTATTTCTTGACCAATTTCAATGGGGTTTTATTCTTGAATTCTTGGAGTTCTTTAATATGCTGATTCTAACCGTGTATTAAGTTTTTGGATTTTGGGCCCCGTTTTTAAATTGGTCCACATTGAGGTCCAAAGGGTCCAAAATTAAACTTTGTTTGATTTCATCAAAAATTGAATTATTGGGGTTCTTTGATATGCCGAATCTAACCGTGTATTTAGATTCTAAATTTTTGGTTACGTTTTCAAATTGGTCTACATTAAGGTCCAAAGGGTCCAAAATTAAACTTAGTTTGATTTTAACAAAAATTGAATTCTTAGGGTTCTTTGATATGCTGAATCTAAACATGTATTTAGATTTTTGATTATGGGCCCAGTTTTCAAGTTGGTCCAAATCGGGGTCAAAAATTAAACTTTGTTTGATTTCAACAAAAATTGAATATATGGGGTTCTTTGATATGCTGAATCTAACCATGTATTTAGATTTTTGATTTTTGGGCCCCATTATCAACTTTGTCCACATTGAGGTCAAAAGGGTCCAAAATTAAACTTTGTTTGATTTCATCAAAAATTGAATTCTTGGGGTTCTTTGATATGCTGAATCTAACCATGTATTTAGATTTTGGATATTGGACCATAATAGGTGAATGTCCAATTTAAAATTTTTAAGTTCTTAGACCACATTCATTCTGTGTCAGAAAGCTATGCTGTGTCAAATATTTAATCACAATCCAAATTCAGAGCTGTATCAAGCTTGAATGTTGTGTCCATACTTGCCCCAACTGTTCAGGGTTCGACCTCTGCGGTCGTATCAAGCTGTGCCCTGCGGAGCATTTTATTGCTTATGGCAAGTACAAATATTAGAGAAAAGTCTCATTCGGTGATATCACAATTGAGGGAAAGGGGACGGGAATGTGGTGACGATAATTAGAACATATCTGTGGTCATCTTAATTAGAAGTAATGTTGGTCCCATAAATCTTAATGAAGTTAAAATTTCAATTAGACAACTATCTTATTTCTTAACAAGGTTTATCAAGTTTATTTTGGAATGAGGGGTTGTCACTTTATAATATTTTGAATGGCATGGAAAAGATTGGTAAATTTATCTTCTTTTCTCGATATTTTCTCCCTTAAAAGTGTTGAGAAAAGTAACATGATTTATCATCGCTTAAAAACTTTAAACTCCCTCATTCATTACCTTCTGTGTTTGTTATGTTATTGTGACAAATAATAAAAAAAAAAACCTTCCGTTACTAAATCTGAGATTGTTAGCTAGAAAGATGTAAAATTTGCTGAAAATTACTGCAAGTTCCAAAGTTTTGTGATAGTACTAGATGTTTATTTTATTTACACGTTTTGAAACATGGAACATCCGTTTGAATTTATGGTATGCATAAATACGCAGCCACGTTCGATCTGAATGGAGACGTTAAATTTGATACCTTGTCAGGCTTGTGTAAGCTATGTAAGTTAAATAATTCTAAGTTGTCGTAGGGGGCCAATTGCAAGGCAAAAGTCTCACCCTTTGTAACAAACTCATCAAGTTTCCTGCAACAATCAAAATTTGATGCCTTTCATTCCGGATTGGCTACGTTGCAGAACTTACCAATTGTATTTTAATTATCAATTAGTTCACCTCCTAAATATGCAAGAAATATTTGGAGCAATGCGTTAAGCAAGCAACAATTAGTCAATAGAAACATAGACTTTGTACCAAACATCGATGAAAATTATAGGGACATAATTTGGTTTAGGGTCGAAATACTGTGAAATTCAATCCACACACTGGACACACAACTTTAAAAAACTAAATATCGATTCTGTCAAGGATTGTGCCAAACAATGAGCAAACTTGGAAAAGAAGCTGCAATACTTTTTACAAATGGGTTACGGCAATGACGTCGTTGATACAAATTATAATTAACAAAAAATAATGAACAATCATGCTTCATGTATCTTCCAAGACCAAAAATGTTGCTGAAAACCTGTCCTGTCTCAATGTGGTCACAAACAAAGCCTTAAACAGTACTTTTGTGTGTACATCACATTATATTAGCTTTTTGATAAGCACAGTATATATTGACCATTCACATTTACTAAAGAGGAAATCCTGGTATTATAGGTCTGTTTTATGTACTTCTGGAATGAAGAACTGCTTCTTCCGTCACCAAACTGAATTGACATTCAATAACAAGTGTCCTTAGGACCAATGTTATATTTCTGGTCCTAATGCTCCACTAAAAATTCAAAGATCTGTTACAGTACATAGGTTCCATCTTCCGAAAATCTTCATGTAGGACACACAAGATCTCATATTGTACCTCTTAAACTTGTCATACGTGTTTAACTAAATACTAG